CCTGGGGACCAGGGGAGAGCACAGGAGTCTGGAATCTGCCCCAGCAGCACACAGACCCTGTGCATGGCATGACCCTGCAGCCCCTGGCAGGTGGGGAGAGGCACCAACTGGGACCAGTTGGCCAGGTAACGGCTGCCAGCGCTGCCTGGCCTCATTAGCACCTGACTCCTTAATTAGAGAGCCGGGATAGGCTCCCGTGGGGATGGCACAGCCCCAAGAGTCGCCGGAGGGGAAAAACAACCAGAGTACACGTGGCTGGAGACCTGAACCCACGTGGGGACCCTGCTGGGACCCAGGTGTCCAGGCTGCCACCCCCAGCACCCACCTCTCCACCTCCAGCTGGAGCTGCCCAGGGCTCTGCTTGATCTTGTTCTGTGCCTCCACGTTGAGCATCTCGGCCGTGCTCTCCCCATTGATGGTGACAATGACATCCCCTGGCCGGAGGTCACCTGCAGCTGCTTTCCCATGCTCTGTCACCTCCGAGGAGAAGGAGACATGGGGACAGCCCCAGTGAGTCCCCACGTGCAGCCCTCACACCAAGGTCTGCATCAATCCCTGAATCCCACCCTGCTGGGATGCTCCCACCAGGATCCCAAAACAATGCCAGACCCTCTGCAGGGGTTGGGCTCACAGCCATGGAAACAACACCCGGAAACTTGGCACAGCCCTGCCCAGCCCGGGGGTGGCACGAGCCCCCGCGTCGCCGTCGCCCGCCATGGGCTGTTCCCACGGAGCACAGGATCCCTCAAGGACAGCAAACAGGATCCTCTCCCCGGAGCAGCCCAGCACGGCGCCCACATGGCGCCCCAGAGCCTTCCCCAGGCCAGGGACACGTGGGGGCTCCTACCTTGGAGACTGTGATTGGCTTCCTGAAATCTCTTCCCCCCGAGATGCGGAAGCCCCACGGGGCTGGGCCGGGCAGGGTCACCCTCAGCGACATGGTAGTGGGTGGCTCTGGTGGGCAGGATGAGGGATAAGGGGATGAGGCAGAGGAGACCTTCTCCTCCCACCCCCAGACGACCCAACAGGTCCCTGCTGCACCCCAAGGGTCCCCACACAGGGTGATGGAGATCAGCAGTGCCTTCCTTCCGGCACTCGAGGGTGTCACCAGCCACTGCTGCTTCCTCTTGCTGCCCCAAGGCTGGTGGCTTCCTCCCCTGGGAGCACAGGGGTCCTGGGCACACAGTGGTGCAGCTGAGACAGCCAAGGTCATTCCCAGGGGTTGGAGCAAGGCAGGAAATCAGTGATGCCTTGGCAGCTAGGCCAGTGCTGTGGGATGGCAGGACAGGGCAGGGCCAAACCAGTGGGGTTTGGAGAGCAGGATGTGGTGGCAAAGGACGAGTCCTGCTGCTCACCACAGCAGGGTCCAACACCCAGCAAGAACCACCACCCCCAGCCCTTCATCCTGCAGCAAATCCTCACTGGTACAGGATGCTGAGGATCCCCCGGGGGTGGCACAGGGTCCCCATGACCCCCCAGGGAGTGCAGCAGCTCTTGGCTTCG